CCCCAAAACCCCAAAACCCCAAAACCCCAAAACCCCTCTAATATAGATTTAGATCTTTTCAGTACTTTATTATAAATATTGAATTTAATTAATCATAATATTATTCATTGTTGGTAATTACAAACGTAGCATATTTATCTCTTATTATTGATTACACTTGCACAAATCGTACACTTTTATACTTACCCGAGAATTATCTATAAATTTTCATAGTCTAAATAGTGTCTATGAAATTCAATATTTTCATAATTGCTGATTTGCTCTAAGTCACATTCAACGTATCCCTAAATCATTTCTTATTATAATCTACTAATATTTTGCCCGAAGAAAATATCAACTTCATTTTCTGATAAATCAATATCAATGCCCGCTTTTAGTTTACATAATCTGCAACTTGAGAAAACATTACCTGTATTTTGTGAGGCATCTCGATTAATGATGGGTTAACTTTGGAATGGAAATAGCAACTAGTCTTTAATAAAGTTTAATTTAAACTTTTAATTATTACTTAGATCTCCATCATTTCCATAGTTTTCCAATTTTATCAGCAATATTAATTACTTGAGAATATTTTTAATAGTAACAAGGCTTACATTACTTTCAATTTATTCCTTTAGAAAATCTGATTGAATCATTTGAAATGTAGCTTGACATAACCGTAAAATTTAATTTGGATTATCAATTTATGTCAAAGCCTCTTGAGCAATGTTTAACTGTAATTGCTTTAGAGTTAGAAGAATAAGTTCTTTTTAAATAGCATCAAATACATTAATTTGTTTAAAAGCATATTTAAAGATAGGATAAATCATAAGGTTGACCAAATATTCAAATTTAATAATCTGTTTGTCAATAGCAAACATAAGATCAAAGATACTAAGGCTAGATCTCCAATTCTATTAACTTAAATTATATATCATTTGAATAATCAAATACTATTTCTAATCATCTAATAACATATCATCATGAAAAGTGACACTAGGGATATAATAATAGAGAGCACACTTCTGGTCGCCTGATGGCTAATAGGAATTTCCTATTCCTAAGTAAACTTACTGTATTGAGGATACTTTATTAAGTTAGAAACTATTAATGGCTAATTTATTGAGTACTATTTTAAGTTCTCTCATTTCTTTATTTATTGGATCAAAAGCCAAATAGATATTTTAATTATCAAGAGTTGTTGCCAGTACTCTAATTTAGTTATTTTCTTAATCTAATTTATTAATAACAGTAATGGGGGAAAGTATAGATTTGACTTTGTATAGAATTTTTGAACTTTACTTAACGAAATCTATATAAAAAATCTAGTTCTCAATAGAGATTAGCCAATTATTAGAACCAAGTTAAACTGAATCATATAAATTTTATCTTACTATCAGATGCTTCAAATGAATTTTATAAATAGTTTTTACCAGTAACTTATCTTCTATATCAATGCTAATTTGTACTACATTACTCTCTATATCAATAGTAAGAACAATCAATTAACTCTAAGCATTTGATCTCTTTATCTTTAAATACCTTAAATCTGATTTGAATTAGAATGCAAATATAAGTTTGTCCTCCTTAAAGAGCATTAAGTAGTTCTCTGAAGTAAGAAATATAAATGCTTCTGAATTGTACAATTTTACTGCCAATAAGTTAAAAGAAACGAATATTTCATGATTATCTATGAGATCTAAGAACTTTTTCTTGAATATTTCTGATTCTACATCGAATATCACTAAATATTGATAATTAGGATTCCATAATTCGTCGTTAAGGTAAGCCTTTTCATTCTTATTTTAAGAGATGACACATTGCCCATTTTGGAGAAGCATGCAAAAACCCTTATCTAAAAGTCTTTATTCTTTTAATTTTTAATCACGATAAGATATCTCTTAGTTTCTATTGAGAAAATGAATTTTCTTGATCAAGGGTACATTGTCTATATTGCTCTCTTATAAATTTGAATCCATCACAAGCTGCATATATTTTGGATGCTAATGCCCACCACTCTTATTAAAATGAATTTTAAAATTAGAGATTTTCATCAGATCGAGACTATTATAGCATTCTATAAGGCCTGAGTCTCCATTGATTAATCCTTGGTAAAGCTTAAAGATTAAAACCTTCTGGCCTGAGTTAATGATTGCAATATCCTAATCCTTAAGTACTTAAATTGAATTCATAGGCTGTGACTTCAATGAGAGTTTAAGATTTTTAGTCGGCAATACGAAGTACTCTCCTAATGACTCTTCTTAATTGAATATTCTCTTCATTTTATTTAATAATACAATAGTTTAGTTTTAATTTCATTTAAATAGTTTTGTAAGCGAATTAAATTCATTCAGGCTGGGGTTTTGGGGTTTTGGGG